AAAAACATATCCCATTCACATAGCTAGTTGAAGAGATAGCTTTCAGGTAGTTTGGATTAGTTTCAGCCTTTAACCACTGTGATGTTTTAACTTTTCTATATCCTTTTTTTAAATAATTTATCTCATCTCACTGAACTTAAAACTTCTTGAATGAGAAGCTTTCTTGTTTTTGTTTTTATTTTTCATTTTCCCCAGCATTGGGTTGGGGTCGGCATCTAGAAGTTGCTCAGACATTTGAATTAATGGTTAAGTAAAAGCAAGTATATATGTAGACTTAGAGGCTGAGAAGAATGTCCAGATGGGAGACTCAGCTTCCTGCTGTGTTGTGGATTATTTCTGTGATGTTATTTCTGTGTGTTACAGTGTACATACATTTGCTTTTCTGTGAAAAGTTTGTTAAACCTCTGCATAGAGATCTATCATGTCAGCCGGTGGTAAAAGAAATAATTTGCATTACTATGGGTCCCAGAGGAATTCCTGACTGCTGTCTCCCTACCTTTTTTAATGCCTCAGGAATTGTTTGCTCTCTCTTGCATGCATTTCTGAAAAAGGTTGATTTCTCCTTTGGTGTTTTTAAAAATTACTAATTTTAAATCTAGTGTTCTTTTGGAAACATCAATCAGTGCCTCTTGCACACCTCCTATTGGGGATGTGCCTGTGCAACCAAGGTATAATACATGCCCTTGACTGGAATCGAACTTGCCACCTTTCAGTCCTCAGGCTCATGCTCTATTCACTGAGCCAAATCCGTCAGGGCAGTAAAAACATATTTTAAAAAATAGATCCACTCAGTGACATTAGAGCATGTCGAAAGGAATATTGGTAAATACAGTACAACTGGTAAGTGTTGGTAGAGAAGATTTGGAGCGGAGAGAGACAGGTACGTCTATAGATGCAGTTTAATAGAGCCAAGTGCAAAAAATAGTGTTAGAATGAGTAGTAAAATCTACTGCCAAAGAACCTAGTTGGTTAGAGCATTGTTCCAATACACCAAAGTTTCAGGTTCGATCCCTGTTCGATCAGGGCACATACAAGAAGCAACAAGTGCATAAACAAGTGGAACAACAAATCATTGTTTCTCTCTCTTTCTAAAATCAATTAAAGTGTGTGTGTGTGTGCGCGCGCCAAAAATACAACTACTTTAAATATCCCCGATACCTAGACTAATGGGAAAAATCACACAGATTTAAAACCTTAGTCTGTATAAGCCTTGTGTTAATGACTTAATCATCAGAAACTTTGGATCCACTGACTTTGACTATGAGTAATATTTTTCATTAAATTTTTAAAAGAAATTGTATTCAATTTTAATGGCCATAGGAAGATGGAAGAGATTATCACCTCTTTTATGGTATTAAGTAAATGTGTTTTGCTATTTGAGGTAGTGGGCTGTTGGTTGTCATTTTTAAAGAATTGTGCTGATAATTTCCTCTTCTCTAGCTTTAATTTTCCCCGTTAGTTACCATGTAGTTAATCAATAGAAAAGGTCCGGCTTAAGTGGGTTCCCAAATCAGCACATACATGGGTAAATTTAGGGCAGTCTCTGACTCTTTTGTCTCTCTATATTTAAATGATCACTAGCTAAATTTGTATTACAGAAGTTTCCACATTTGTCCTGTACTTGGAAGCAGAATCCTTGACCTGTAAGAAACTAGAGCTACAGTGTATTTTAATGATTGCTTGTCAGCTAGGTTCTATCCATCTGTAATTTGACCTGCTAGGAATTGAAGCTCCCCCCCCCCTTTTTTTTTTTTTTTTAAAGAAGAGGCAGTTGAAGAAAATTCAGCTGGCAGTATGAATAAGTGTGTGCATTTTAAATCTTTAATGCATTTTTTTTTTTTTAGAAAAGTGAATTTACTTTTTGTTTGATCCCTTTGAATTTAAATTTCTAATCAGTATAAATGAAAAGCTATTTCAATTCTGAAAGCAGATAGTACTTAGAAAGGAAGAGTTCATTTAGAAATGGAGAAAGTGTTCCAATGAATCATCATTAAACTAAATTTTAAGATTCTATGCTCTAACATAGAATCTGTGAATTTTCACTCAAATGTTCCAATTTATGCCTTTTGTCCTGGTATAGTTAACTACTAACACTCCCTTTTACTCTCAAAGTGTCCAATACCTTATCTATATGATCATACTAGCTCTAAATGAAAGTTGAGAGATCTAAATGAGGTTTTGAAAACAGGGTAAAGAAAAAAAAAAAAAAAAAAAAAAAAAATCAAATCCCTGTTGAGGCCTTTAGATCAGATGCAGTACTATTTTTGGAAGGAATGATCTTATTAAGCCTTAGTTGATTAGAGTGACTTGAAAAAAATTTGTGAGGAAGGGAGAATGGCAAAAAATGAAGTATTTATCACTACTACCACTACTTCTACACTTTGTAAAAGTAGTGATAGTAGTGATAAAATTGAAATCACATTTTATATTTATTTTTTATCCTCTCTCTTAAATTTTATGTTTTGCTTTTGCAGTGCAGTATTTAAAAGGGACAGATGAATAAAAGGATTCAGAGCAAAAAATAAACTAACCTTCACAAAAGCAACCAGTTTCTAATTACATGTTTGTTCTTTCAGAGATTTATGCAAACATATTTTTCAGCACTTTGATTTTTCTCTGAATAATATGAGTGGAGATTATCCCATAACAAAAAGTCTTTCATTTTTATTTTAAACTCATTTTAGATTGATAGCATAGTTGCAAAAATAGTATAGAGTTTTGGTTTACCACTCACCCAACTTCCCCTACAGCAGTATCTATACAATAACCATAATATAATGATCAAAACGAAGAAATTGAGTTTGGTACAATAATATTAACTAAACCATAGATCTTATTTTTAATTTTACCACTTTTTCCTCTAATGCCCCTTTTGTGTTCTAAGATCCCATCTAAAAAAATCACTGCTATAGGCTAATTGATAGGAACAAGAGTTAAGTTCTTACGACATTGATTGCATTTAGTTATTTTTTTGTTTCTAATCTGTAATAGCTCCTCACTGTCCATGTCTTTTTTTTTTTTAATATATTTTTATTGATTTCAGAGATGAAGGAAGAGACAGAGAGAGAAACATCAATGATGAGAAAAAAATCATTGATCAGCTGCCTCCTACTCAACTCTCACTGGGGATAGAGCCTGCTACCCCACCATGACCAGGAATCAAATGGTGACCTCCAGGTTCACAGGTCAACCTCAGATACTGAATGAGCCATGCGGGCCAGGCTGTCCATGTCTTTTGTGATAACTAAGTTTTTACTATCTCTGCTTTCTATAGAGAATATTGTTTCAGAATCATAGACGCAAGGTTATTATTATTTTTTAATCTTTGGGTTTTGTATAGTGTAATACAGTGGGAAAATGGTACTAAGAATCAGAAGCTTTTGTGAATTAGTGACAATTTTCTGTGATGCTTATTTGTAAAATAGCAATGATAAAAAGAGTCTCTAAACTCTGTACAGTGAGTCCTTGCTGAACGCCATCTACAGGTTCTGGGATGTTGAGCAAAATAACCTATGAAGAAACCACAGTGATATTTACCAGCATGCTGGTGTTCCACGAGACACATTGATGTGACACCAAAAAAATGTAAAACGTGTGCAGTACCTGACTATTTAGTTAGGGGCACTGATCTTAGATTGTAAAATTAAAAAATGACAACAGCCAGCACAACAGTGGCCATCTGGTATGAATTAATCAAAATTATACTTTTTAATTTATTTACTAGAAGCCCGATGCATGAAATTCATGCAAGAGGGTTAGATGTTTCTAACTCTCCCTCTCTCTTCCTCTCTGTAAAAAATCAATAATATATATATATATTTTTTTTTAATTAAAAAAAAAATGGACATATTGTTTGGAAGAAATACTTTAGAAATATTGACTATGGGTTGTACAAATTATTAACTTTTATCTTTTTATTGTTTACTTTTTTAAATAGACTTTATTTTTTTAAATAGTTTTATTTATTTATTTATTTATTTATTTGATTTTTTTTGCCCTTTTTATTTCAAATGCATATATACCATATACAGTAAATATTAACCAATATTTATATTGAATTTTAGAATTTTTATTTTATTTTTTTAATTTTTACATATTTTATTGATTTTTTTTTTTTTGCCCCCCTCCTTCCCTCCCACATATCCCCTCCCTCCCCAGAGTTTTATGTCCATTGGTTGTTATTTTTTAAAATAGTTTTAGATATATAGCAAAGTTAAGCTGAAAGTATAATTTCCATATATACATTTTCCTCTTCATATACATAACCTCCACCCAGTTGGTCAATTTAGGACTCACAGATCCTCATGCCCATATCTTTGTAACAAGAAGGGAACCAGAAAATTGGTTCTAATTTAAAGCCAAATTATTAGTTCTTCCATTTCTGATGAGAGAGAACCTCAAGCTGTCTGAACCTATATTCAATTCAGCTGTTTTGGTTTATTCTAGTGGCAGTGATAACTTGCCTGATTATGGCCAAATATGGCATTATACAGGCTTGTTTATCTCTTGGCAAATTATTTGAGGAATAGCTGCATTTGAGATACTTTGTCCAGAGATTGTGTTTTTTAATTCCTTGAATCTTGATAGTTTAGTTTGGTGGTTGAAAATGGAATCTTTTAATAGTTTCAGTATAAAGCAATGTTATCAACATGGAACAGTATAATATTGGTTTTATTTGCATTCTATTACTATGATATATTTTCTTTAGTACAAGATTGTTTATGAAAATAAAACAAAATATGGCCCTTCGTTTTTAAGATTCAGTAGTTTTTCTAATATGGTTAGTCTAAGAAAGCCGATATCCCAGTGGTTGGTTGCTAGTGTTTTAGTTAACAATTTCAATGCTTGCCATTGGAAGGAGATAATAAATTGTTTAGATGTCTTTAAAAGTCTGAATTTGTGCCACAGTTTTGATTGTCTACAAAAGAATGAAAAATTGTAAATAACCCCTCATTTGATTGCTTTTGAAAAAAATAACGTCTTTTTTTTTTTCTTTTCAGGGTAATCACTTTGATCAGTATGAAGAAGGACATTTGGAAATTGAACAAGCATCACTTGACAAGCCTATTGAATCGGTAAGATGATCAGTGCTTAATTTTGGGTCTAAGCTAGTTAGTTAGGTAGTATTCGTGTGACACTTGATGTGAGTGAAGTTAAACTTATTAATAACTTATAGTACAGGCTAGAGTTGTTTCTTGCATGTCTGACAGTAATCAAAGAGAATTTGGGATATAATTTAATATGTTGGGTTATCAGTCTGAAATCTATAAATAATTTATAATTTTGATGAAAAAATATCATTTGGCCCACACTGATATTCTGTTAAAGATAGCAAGTTAAAAGTTCAGTGTTTTGATAAATTGAATAAAGGAGTAAAATGTATTTTGATCCTTTAAACGCTTCACCTTTCCTGGGCAACACAACCATATAATGTCCTATTAGGACTAGTTAAAGACTAACAGATTTTATTTACCAGACAGACTTTGTAAGATGTAAATTTGGTTTCTGTAGCTTAAGAGATGTCTGGTTTTTGTCAAAAGTTGATTATCCTATCTCTTTACACAATTTAGTTTTGGAGATTGATAGCAAAGCAATACAACAAGGAGATTTCTCTTTTTGACTCTTAAATATTTTAAAACCTTAATTTTTGAACATTGTTTCCATTTTGAGAAGCCCTTTATTTTCAAAATACACAGTCCATTATTAAAATGTCTAAACTTGTCATTATTTAATATTTCTGCTAAGGTATACATATTAAATAAGCATTTGGTGAGTTCAGCTTGAATGAAAAATAAAGAGGGAATCTTAATCTTGATAACAACAGTCAAGACATCCCCTCTCTCCCTCAGGAAAAGGAGGCAATTCAGAGAGCACAGTTATTGTAACTTTAGCTTTTATTTTCACATCTATAACATAGTAAAGGATCAACATATATTTATGTTCCTAAATTAGGTTGGTGTTGTGTGTTTGTGTGTGTGTTTAGATGTTTACAGAAATTTACACAACTTGGGGTGTTCGACATTTTTCTTCCACAGCAGTTGGCCCATATTAGCTAAGCAGCCATGATCTGGTTTGTATTGCACGGTCTGCCTTTTTTTTCTTCTCTAGGGTTTCTTTCTCCCCCACTTCCCCCTATTTCTGTTCTTCTGGTCCAGTGAACACTGCATATAGTACCTTCTGTCTTAACGTGCTGGCATGATGCTAGACTTAGGCATGGCAGTAAATGATGACGCATGTGATAATGCTGCAGAGGGAGAATTCACATCTGATGTTGTACTAAAAGCCCAGTCTTGTGTTTTGACTTAGGATAAAATGCCAAGCCCAATTTGCTCAATTTAAATAATCCCTGAAGTTTTTGCCTTGTTCTGTATCAGTTTTCTATTTTAATTTAAATGTGTCTTTGGGTCAAAGTTTAAGAACAGAGAACTGTCAGAAGCAGGCCCAAGTACCATATTCTACATGTTGATTAGTATAATTCTGTGGGTACTCTACTCTGATTTAATAGTAGCAGGACATTTAATTAGACTAAATTTGCAGCCTAGTATTTATTATCACTTGACGCAACAAGGATTTTTTTTAAAGCAATAAATTAAATGACATATGACATCTTTAAAGCCTTCTTTTAGGGCTAATTTTAAGGGTTAGGGGACATTCATTCCTTTGGCCTGTGAGACTAATGATCTTTTTCCTCTCACACTGTCCAGGGTTTTTTCTAGCACATGTCGTAGGGATAACAATATCAGAAGACAGTCTGACTGAATAATCAATATTGAGTAATGTCAGTGAATAGCAGTGGAATTAATATATGCCTTTTTTATTAAATAATAGTGTCTTTTCCATTTAAAATAGTAAATGATATAGCACTGAGACTGGATATTTAATTTTTTAATAAATAGGTATATGATCAGAGATATATATTAATAAATTATACTTCTAATATAAGTTTACTCCCAAAATACATAAATATATAAATGTATGCATTATTTGTGCTGTGGTATTTAGGTAGGAGGAAGAGGAGCTTCATAGCCTACATTATGCTAGATAAAGGCGGGACACATAACATAGGGGAATTTTATTTCTGTTATCAACTCATTTGGAGATAAATTTTAAGTTCTTAAAGACACTCAAAATGATTAGCATTAAGTGTGGTGTGTCTCCCCTCACCCCCAACAAAGAAGTGCCCTCTAACCTAAGGAACCCTCACCAAGTACATATATGTTAGTTTTATGGCTGGCTGAGTATATTGAGTTGTCTTATTCTTAAGGGGGAAATGGTTGCTTTTATCACACAGAAAGAGTATCTGCTGAATTAAAATCTTTCTCTGCAGCAATATCTATTGAGAGGTGCTGACTGTTTTGCTACAGCATGCAACTCAAAAGTGGCTGGAAATATGCAGCTTTGGGAGTCTACAGATCATTGCAGGAGCTAAAGGTCTAGTCATTTTTTTTTATTTAACAAAGGTAATCTGCAGCAGCTGGTAACCGTGGAAGTCTGCACAGGTTTGTGCCAAGAATATGCCTGTTTGAGGGGTTATTGTGAGTATAGGATTAAAACTTTTGTTTTGTAATAGGGTAAATTTGTAGCAAACCAACAAGATGGGAAATGAAACACAAAGATGCAATAATGCATTATGCTTTCAGTAAACTTGCGAAGCTTAGATTTGTTAATGAAATGATACAGGAATTTTAATTTCAATCAGGAAATGTTGAAAACACTTAAAAATCTAACATTGGTAAAGTATTTCATAATCTTTATTATAAAGTTATATTTCAACCAACTAAATATTTTTGAATAAAATTTCTAGTTAAGAATAAAATGCCGTTCTAAGAAAATTATGAAAGAACCACTAAACAACTTGATTATATTAGTATGAATTAGAGAGAAGGTAGAAAATATTAACATTTTACCCTTATTACAAAAACTTTTTAAAGCTTGAATTTTAAGTTATTGCTTTAATGAAAGTTTTAGGTCCCAGCCATAATAATGATGACCGTCACATACTTAAAGATAAAATATTTAGAAAACAAATAAAACTTAGTCTACAACCATAGATAGCCCAGTCTGGGATTTTGCCATAGTTCCAAGAATTGATCAGTCATTTAGGATATATGGTCCTTTATGACCTTTACCATAGAAAAAAGATGACAGATCAGAAGGGAGACTGATTATAAGCTATTCATAAGGCAAAATGCCTGCATCATAGACTTAAGATTTGTTGTCATTGTTGCAGTTGGAAGTAAAACTACCCATCAACCATTAGTTGGTCTTTTTTCTACCTGACTGATTAAAATCCTATCTTTATAGTTGTCAGGTTGACCAAAGAAGATTTAAAAATTAATGGTAGTTTTTAAACTTCAGTTGCTGATGTTCATTTTGCTCACTAGGGTTTTAGAAGTCTATGTATAATTGGTTTTTGTCCTGTTAAGTATCTGTTTAGATCTGTGGACTCCACTAGTTTCAAACTGTAACTCTGTAAGACTGCTGATTTGACATTTAGCAGTGACCATATGTGGACTGCACTATAAATAATGTGCTTCTTGGAGCTGAATGGTGTAGCATTACTATATGGCTTTTCTCTCCAGTCTTCATTGTGTCATCTGTAGTGAGCTATAGATTTTTTGTTTTGGGAATTTTTACAACTTGTTTGCATGGGTTCACCTCGTAGCATTTGGTTTTTGCTTATAGAGTCTTTAATACACAATCAGCAAAGCTTACAATCCACTCAAGAAACTTAACCATTTTTGTCACTGTTTAATATAGATTAAATGTAATAAATTGAATGTGGCTGTCAACTAAAAGAAAATTCAATGTGAAATTAATACTCATCCAGTCATTGGCATAATTATATAATTTCTCTTGAGACATGATTTAATAATCTATTTCTTGCTATAAAAATTTTGAATGAGCCCCATACAAAAAAGCAAATTTTTATGTGTTTTGGCAGACTCCTATTTACACAGATTGGTGGTCACAATTGCCAAAATAATTATTGTTACTTTGAATGGTATATAGCTTTATGAAGCAGAGCAGTTTCCTGGGGAAATTTTCTACCTGATAGTCAATAAACAGAAATGTTAAGGAATGACTGAAACAATTAATAATGGGTGTTTTGTTTGTTTGTTTGTTTGTTGTATTTTCAGCATATTGGTAGTTGTTTATAATACATTTTTCTTTCAAAGATCTTATTTAAAAATTATATCCTCATACATATATTGGAGGGGAACAAAGAATAAAAATGTAGCGTTTTAATTATATATTTACGTTTGTGCGTCTCCCCCCACCCCTTTTTTTTATATGGTTTCAGAGAGGGGAAGAGAGAGAGAGAGACACACACACACACATCAGTGATGAGAGAGAATTATTGATTGGCTGCCTCCTGCGCACCCACATTGAGGATCATGTGCCCTGGCTGGAGATTGAACTGTGACCTACTGGTTCATAGGTCAACATTCAACCACTGAGCCACACAGGTTGGGCAATTATATACATTTAAGTTTTGAACTAGAAAAAAACGTTTTAAAAGCTAACTAAGGTAAAAAAAAAAAAAATAGTTTGTCAGCTCAGCTTCAGACCGTTTAACTAGAATTAAGAATTGTTTTTGCCTAATCAAAGAAGATGCCACCCTGCCACCATTTGGGAGTCTCGTGCATACAGAGTAACTAATAGGTTGTGGGAAACTAGCTTTTTGTCTACCGCCCTTGAAAAAAATTCAGTTGCTTTATTATTTTAAAATTAGTATTTCCCTTTAGTTCTTCCATGTGCATTGAAATTAGGCTGTCATGCCCCCTTGTTAGTCATAAGCCAACTGTGTTAAAAAAAGAAAAAAAAATCCATTTATTTTTCATTCTATGAGATTATAATTAAATTCCCAATCATATATTCTTTAAAAAAAAATACTACATATATTTTTAAGATTTTTAAAATTTATTTTTAGAGCGAGGGAAAGGGTGAGGTAGAGAGGGAAACATGGATGTGAGAGCACAATATCGACTGGCTACCTCTGCATTCCCCCTACTGGGGATTGAGCCTGCAATCCTGACATGTGCCCTGAGTGGGAATCGAACCAGCAGACTTTGGTGCATAAGGTGACCAACCAAACTGAGCCACATCAGCCAGGGCCACATTATTTATTTTATTTAAAAATAAAAAACTGAAAGATAACTTAGTCTCTGTAGTGACTGAAATAGTAATTGTTACTATTTTAGGAGTTAAATTTAGTGCTCATTGCTTTTGTTAGGTCTAGATTACCTGTTTGGGCTATAAATAACATCCATGAGAATAATTGGCAAAATCACAGCCCTAAACAGAGAAAGTAGATTATTTTCACAGGCTGGTAATTGAATCCCTTGTTCTTTTACAGTGAAAGTTCCGTGAACATTTTTATCATTTCAGATGTAGATAAGTCTGCTTTGTTCTACTTTGTATAAGGCTTTTTGGTGTGCCTTCCTATGCTACCCATCATCCTCAAACCTATTGGTTTTTTGACGAGTGTTTATAAAACCTTTTTTCTTTTTTTCTTTTTTCTTGGTAGAAAAAGAGACCATACTGAATACTGGCCCTTTCTGCAGAGTCATAGAGCTTCCTATTTTCCTCCAAAAGCAGGTAGTCTGGAACGATAGGAAGGGTCCAGATTTTTGCTATTAGTCATTCACTAAATTTAGGGGGTCGGTGGACCTAAGAGGTTCTTGGATATATGTCTGTTGTTTCGGTTGCCTTTGTTATAATCACAAGGACATAAAGTAGCATATTAATAATTTAAATACTAATTTTGTTTGTTCCTGACATTTCATTCCTTAGTCATACTTGGTTGGGAAAGTAGATTTAATTAAAGAAAAGTTTTCACCTAAAGTTTTAGAAGAGAATGGCCACTACCATTTTGTACCAATAGCTTTTTGAGAAGGTGACAGCCATCTTGAGTGGCTTTGTAAAAGTGGTGCTGATGTGTATAACCCTAAATTTTTCTTTATTCTCCCTTTAACGTTGCTTTTCCTTTCACTGTTGTCAGTCACAACACGCTGCTCTTGAACCTCTCAGCTGGTCTTGACTCGTGAATTTACTTATGCTTTCACTCTTTAGTATATAAATTAATTGCAAGCAGTGAATTGAAAACAAGACAAAAAAAAAAACAAAAAAAAAAACGACCATTAGTGAATGGACAGTTTCTTACTTTGTGTTACATTTAACTGTTCTTTTGACAGCCCAGTTTTTAAAGCCAGGTTCGTATGGAAATGCTTTCACTCCACTTGCACTGCTTTTGGAAATAGCATACTGCTTCATCTGTCTGTTTATTTTAGTGCATTCATAATATAACACAGTCAGCATAATGTCTCATCTCCACTTAGCCAAAGATTTAGTGTTTTTTTAAATAAAAAAAGGGGGGCAGCAATTTTTGTCAGCATTGTTTAATACCCTAAATCTCTGTGCCAAGTACAATTCTAACTTTAGCCTGTTAAAAGATTAAACAATAATTTAATCAACTACTTAATCTTAGAGTCATTCTGCTTTCTTTGTCCTTTCTGTAGTTATTTAGTTGTAGGAGTTATGATATAAAATAAAGATTTTATGTACAGGTAAGTTTATTTTCATAATCGTGTAATAAAGGTTTCTTTACCTTTTCATATTTTGCTAACACTGCTTGTACTGACTTTTAATTGTTACTTATTTTCTTTACAATGAGATTATTTATAAATATTTAGGCAATCAGTTCTGGTTAAAGGGATGCTTTTTCTGACATTTCATTTGTAAGGAGAGAAGGGAAGAAGAGGCAGCAGTGTTAGATTAAATGTTTGTGATGTTTAATAACATGGAAGTTACCACCTTGGATAACACATAACAATAGCACTTTCTAATTCTTTCAGTTCCTAGCAAAAAAAATTCTAGTGACTTTTTGTGTACCATAACAATTGTGAGTATGTGTGTGTGTTTTAAAGCAGTAGTATCTTTTGTTTTAGAAACAAGTTTTTCATTGCTTCTTAAAAATATATATATTGTTATTGATTTCAGAGAGGAAGTGAGAGGGAGAGAAAGAAACATCAGCGATGAGAGAGAATCATTGATGGGCTGCCTCCTTCCTGCCCCACTCTGGGGATTGAGCCCCAACTGGGAATAGAACCTTGTTTATAGGTCTATGCTAACCACTGAGCCATGCCAGCCATGCTCATTATCTTTTGCTTCATTTTTGTTTTTATAAAAGTCTCCTGATATCTATCTATCTATCTATCTCTCTCTCTCTCTCTCTCTCTCTCTCTCTCTCTCTCTCTCTCTCTCTTTCTCTCTCTCTCTTTTTTAAGATTTTTTTAATTGATTTTTTTTAGAGAGAGAAACATTGATATGATAGCAAAACATCAGTCAGCTACCTCTTGCATGCCTCCTATTGGGGATTGAGCCCGGTATGTGCTCTAAGTTGGGAATAGAACCAGCAACTTTCAGTGCATGGGATGATGTCCAACCAACTGAGCTGCACAGTCCAGGGCTCTCCTGATCTTTTTTTCCCCATCAGCTGCTCAGCCTAGTTTTCCAGTTGGTATGCTGTCATAAACTTATAGAAGGAAATTGTCCTTAAAAAAAAAAAGATAAATATATATATTGGGGAGCCTTAATCTTTCTCTTCTAACTTTCTGTCAGAGAAGGTAACCATACAATAATGTTTTCTTTGCTCTATAACTCCAAAGAGCATTTTATCATTGATATGGAGCTTCATATGTATGTTTGATTTTTATATAGATATTTATGGTTTTGTTAGCTTTATAAATTGATTTCAGGAAATAATGAGTGATACCAGATTAGTACTATAATTAACTTTAGTAGATATAGAACACTTTAAAAATAATTTTAAGCGTCTTCCTCTGGATAAGCAGCATCATTTTATCTGACACAGTTAATGGTTATTTTAGCTTTGTCTCTATACTGGACAGTATTTGTAAAAAGCAAAGAATTGGACAAAGGTATGCAGAGGTTTCTAAGATCTTGACTCCTTACACAAAAGCTGACATTTAATTGTTGTTTCTGGTGTCTTTTCATACAATTTATATTGAAATGCCTTTTTTGGTGTGCTCTTAGGAAGATGAGACATTATGTATATTGTTTTTTCCCCCCTACATGCACTAATGGTTCTTTACTGTTAACTTATTGCTAGGCCTGTTTCATTCTAACATTTTAGCATTTTTGTTAGATTACATGTTGAAATGCATCACTCAGTCTGTGCTTGAGCTCATTTTATTTTTCTGTTTAATCAATTTAATTTCTTGTTTTACTAACCTCACTGTTTTTTCGGTTTAATATTGGCTGCATGCTAGTTAAATATTTACATTTTATATATATATATATAAAAACCAATCAAGTCTAGCCTGGATTTTGCTCTGATTGTGTTTTCATTTCTAGTGGTGGGGCAGTCTTACACTTACAACTTACTTTGTACCATGAAAGCCTGACACACAGACAAAATAACTAAACACAACATAGATTTTCTTTTTAAAAAATCTTAAAGTGGTGCTGTCTAGGTGGTGGATATGATTGTATAAGTACCTTGATTTTATGCTTTTTTAATGTTAGCTTTAAACTTCATAAATGTATTCTTCCCTCTTTACCCCTTCCCGTTTTTCTCCTTTTTAAAACGTCATGTACAAAAGTTGCCCAGCACACCATCAGAAAGGACTTTACCCCGTATATTATTTTCATATGAAATACTAGCCAGCATTTCTTTTTACATTAATGTCCCTTTATTGGGCACATTTACCCCCTATTATTAGCACCTTTTTGCATGCATATATGTAGACTTATCTCTTGCTCATCACCTGTTTAAATGTCACTAGGAAGGGAAGAATATATTATTGGAATATTTTTGGTTTGTCTTTCTGTTCTGTCTGTCAGGATAATATTGGACATCGCTTACTCCAGAAACATGGGTGGAAGCTGGGCCAGGGATTGGGAAAATCTCTTCAGGGTAAGTTTTTTAAATATACAAAAAGAAAGAAAACAGTGTTTCTGATGCAGATCTTGTGCCTAAATATATTTGTTGTCCTTTTTAAAACACTTTGTTTCTTTCCCGTCTCCCTTCCCCTTCCCCGCCCCCCAATAGTCTGTTTTTCCTATAACTGTATTTAAGCTAATAATTTATAAGAGTAAGCTGCTGTGTCGTGGATACTTTCTGGTCAAAAATATTGTGTATGGCTCCACCAGTTTTTAAGGTGTTTTTTTGTGGAAGTAGTCAGTGAATGGAATAAAAGAAATACATAGCAGCAGGGTATTTGTGTCGTTTAGTTGTATTGTGGCTTCAGTATTTTAAAGAGAACCATTCAATAGCAGGTTTTAATTTTTGTGCTACCCTGCCTCTCCCTCATTCTCTCCGTAGCTGATTATTGCCTTGGCTCTTTTTTCTCTGCAGTCATACTCCATGTAGTAGTAGAGAGAAAATTATCCCATTTTATATAAAACATAATGGAAATAGAGGTTTATTTTGGTTTTCTGAGCAGAGAGGCCATTTCTCAGATTCTGATCAGACTGTAGAAAATGTATAGCTTAAAGTTTCCATTGCATTTATTTTTTATTTTAACTGTACTAATCATTTGGATAAAAACAAAATATTTAATATTTCTACTTCTCTATTTGCTAGTTGGAAACCAGCCAACTTCATTCATCTTTTTTTGCTCTCTGACATTCAAGAGCTATTGCTTACTGTTTTTTGTTGTATTGTTTATTCTTTGCACATGTGAACACTCCTTCAGAAATAATGGGAAATTGTACTTCTACATCTTGTCATGAAAGATCTCATTGTAGAAAGGGATCTTTGGTGAGAGGTGTGCTACTTTTGACAAATTATTTGCATTTTGGAAATAGATTTCTGTAAAGTGTGTGTGTGTGTGTGTGTGTGTGTGTGTGTGTGTGTATGTGAAGGACTCAGAGGAATGATGACTAGGGAAGACTTTATACTGAAGTCCTAAGGAGGGAGGATAATGGCTATTACCAAATATAAGATGATTATATTTGGCAAAGAGAAGATATGGCTGGCGGGATCAGAGAATTCCCATGGGACAGTGGATTTTATATTTTATTTTTTTAGCATAAGAATCTCTCCAGCTGAAGCCAGCGTGGCTCAGTGGTAGAGCGTCGGTCTGCAGACTGAAAGGTCCCAGGTTCGATTCCGGTCAAGGGCATGTACATTGGTTGTGGGCACATCCCCAGTGGGGGATGTGCAGGAGGCAGCTGGTCGATGTTTCTGTCTCATCGACGTTTCTAGTTCTCTATCTCTCTCCCTTCCTCTCTGTAAAAAAATCAATAAAATATATATTTTTTAAAAAAAGAAAATCTCCAAAAATTTTTTAAATGTTGAACCTTAATATATAAAGGGGAGGAGGAGGAAAAACTACAGTTTTGGTTGAAGTAAAGTTCTAGGTTGCCAGGACTAGTTTGGAAACCATAACTAGAGGGCAGTAATGGAAAATTTGTTTGAATAGGCACAAATCTAGTGTTTACTATGTGCTAAGCACTTAACAGGTATCTCATTTAATTCTTACAAGAAGTCTGTGAGATAATTACTGTTGTTCCCATTTTGCAGAACAAGAAACAGGTTTAGAAAAGTTTATTTTAAGACTTTTTTAAAAAAATATATTTTATTGATTATTCACAGAGAGAAAGGGAGAGAGACAGAGAGCCAGAAACATCGATGAGAGAGAAACATCGACCAGCTGCCTCCTGCATACCCCCCACTGGGGATGTGCCCGCAACCGATATACATGCCCTTGACCGGAATCGAACCTGGGACCTTTCAGTCTGCAGACCGACGCTCTACCACTGAGCCAAACTGATTTCGGCTCAAGATTTATTTTACAGATGAAGTAATTTAGGTTTAAGATTCCAAAATATGTTAGAGATAGTGCTGAAACAAATCCAAATATTCTGATCAAAGTATATTTGAAGATGAACATAGAAAACCATTTAGAAAAAGTTGTTTGGGTTTGAGTTAAGGGATAGCAATGGTAATGGAAAGGGAGGTATAAATATAAAGTATAACACAAATCAGTGAAACACAGTGTACAGTCAATTTATATATGTCTAGCAAAACCTTATTCCCTGGGTTTAAGTGTAAATCCTTTTTTTTTTTCCCTTAATCCTCACCATAGGACATTTTTTCCATTGATTTTTAGAGAGAGTGGAAGGGAAGGAGGGAGAGAAAGAAAGAGAAGCATCAGTGTGTGTGTGTGAGAAAGAGAAAGAGAGATTGATTGGTGTCCTTAGGAATCAAACCCTTGATCCTTCATGCACAGGCCATCGCTCTAACCATCTAGCAACACAGATCAGGGCTAGTTTAATCCTTTGTAAGGATTTATTAAATATTTACAGAGTGTACATGGATTACCTAACTTAAGTCTTTGTGGTGGATATCATTCCTGTTTTACAGATGAGGAAACTGACATTCTGAGCAATACTCTGCCCAAGATCTTAAAAAAAAAAAATGCTATAATTAACATGCTCTAATGGATATAAATTCTATCTCCTAGAAAGATGTGATGTTGGTGAGAAGTGCAGGTATTACAGAACTGAAATATATATACAATAGTTAATTCTGGCTCAAAACATTGGAGATAGCTTTGAATATGATTTTTTTACCTTAGGGTACTTGAAGCAATCATTTATATTCTTCATGATTAATATAAATTTGTATATATTCATTAGAAACTTGAGGCTAGATTGAGCATTAAGAACCTTGGCCTCAATTTTAGGGTTGATTGGTTATTGGTCTCTAGGGAAAAAGAAAATACTGTCATTTCACCACTTCCTTTTTTTCTTTATACTTTACTGAGGCTCGGTGTGCGAAATTTGTGCACGGGTAAGGTCCTAGGCCTGGCCAGCAATCAGGGCCGATCTGTTGGGCAACTGGCACGGCAATCGGGGGACCCCCAGCTCACACCTGCCTTGGCCGGCCTGGGGCCTGGGGCCTGCGGGCTGGGGGCAGCTCCTACATTGAGCATCTGCCCCCTGGTGTCAGTGCACATCATAGTGACCGGTTATTCCTTCGGTTGGTCAGTTTGCATATTAGGCTTTCATTGTATAGGATATAGGATATTTCTTGTGGCATTTTAAAAAATATATATTTTATTGATTTTGTACAGAGAGGAAGGGAGATAGAGAGTTAGAAACATCGATGAGAGTCTCTCAGCTGCCTCTTGCACACCCCCTACTGGGGATATGCCTTTGACTGGAATTGAACCCAGGACCCTTCAGTCCCCAAGCCGACGCTCTATCCATTGAGCCAAACCGGTTTCGGCTCTTGTGGCATTTTTATGCTCTACTTATATAATTTATGTTTTATGTATCTCTTAACCTTCATTAACTATAAACTCCTAAATGCTAACAATTGTTATGCATTTACATGTATCTGTTGTTGCTTTTCATATGTTTTTTATTCTGCATATTTATCGAATCCTTAGAATGTTCCAGATCCGTACTAATTCTTAGGAGTTCAAGGATTAATATATAGCCTCTGCCCTCCAGAGGCTCATGTCTAATAGGGAGACAAATGTAACAAATAAATGGAATGCAGTATAATTGTGAAGTTAAAAGTATAGTGGGGGCTGCAGAGCAGGTTGGACATGTGAAATTTCAATTTATTTCTTGAATGATTTTACAAATGAAAAAATCTCAGAACAAGGAAGCAAGCAACATCACAACTTTGTTAGTAGATATATGGAATCTCCTCATTCTTCCATATAGAAGCACTTATGTTTTAAAGTAGGATCAAATGTAAACATCAAAAGAATTCAGCCAGCCAGGACCGGTTTGGCTCAGTGGATAGAGCGTCGGCCTGCGGACTAAAAGGTCCCGGGTTCGATTCCGGTCAGGGGCATGTACCTTGGTTGCAGGCACATCCCTAGTGGGGGGCGTGCAGGAGGCAGCTGGTTGGTGTTTCTCATCGACGTTTCTAACTCTCTGTCCCTCTCAATTCCTCTCTGTGTAAAATCAATAAAATATATTTAAAAAAAAAAAAAAAAAGAATTCAGCCAAAACCGGTTTGGCTCGGTGGATAGAGCGCCAACCTGTGGACTGAAGGGTCCCAGGTTCGATTCTAGTTAAGGGCATGTACCTTGGTTGTGGGCACATCCTCAGTGGGGTGGGGGTGTGCAGGAGGCAGCTGATCGATGTTTCTCTCATCAATATTTCTAACTATTTCTCTCCCTCTTTGTAATAAAATCAATAAAATATATTTTTTAAAAGAATTCAAAGTAAAAAGTGTGTTTTATAAGAAATTTATTAAAGAAAAAGGCTAAAAGTATTTTCATTAGAATGGCTACCAAAATATGAAAAACAAATTATATATTTAGAAAAGAAGACAGGACGTGAAGCAGGACATTTCATTATACAAAACCTTTGCTTTTTGAATTATACAAATTCTATTCATTGGTGACACAAATGAGATGTTTAATATGTATATTTCAAATTAATATTAGTAAGCATTAACCTATTTGGGGGGATAGAAATAACTTTTTTTTTAATTGGGGTTTTACTTTTTCTTTTTTTTTTAAATATATTTTATTGATTTTTTACAGATAGGAAGAGAGAGGGATAGAGAGTTGGAAACATCGATGAGAGAGAATCATCGATTAGCTGCCTCTTGCACACCCCCTACTGGGGATGTGCCCGCAACCAAGGTACATGCCCTTGACCGGAATGGAACCTGGGACCTTTCAGTCCGCAAGCAGACACTCTACCACTGAGCCACACCGGTTTTGGCAGAAATAACTTCTTGATAGAATTTGTTCCTTCGGTTTGCATAGTTTTAAGTGTTGGGTTGAATTGAATAGAGATGATTGCTCATAAGAAAGTCTGAAGACTGAATTTGATCTTTCTCTGCTATTTGAAACATCTTTTTCCCATACAGAGATGCCTGAGAGCATTGTTAATGTTGCTCTCTTAGTTCAGGCACACAGGAATTAAAATTTGGAAGCA